GAGTACAACTCTCCCAGACAGTAATCAGACAAGGGATGAGTAACGTGACACCACTCATGGGGAACTCGAGAATCCCAGAGAGGAAAGTAAGGAAGATGCCAGCGAAGAAAGTGTCTCGTGTAATAGACGTGCAGAAGAATAATCAATTGAAGTATAATTTCATGGGAGTTCCGGAGACAGATCCGAGGGCCTGCTTCAATCGAGCTACCTGGAGCCCGGCTGTGAACCTGCAGCAACCACCACTCGGGACATCTCACCTGATATTGGGAGACAGCTTAGTCAGAGTGCTGTCGAATTTGAGGACCTCATGGGTCACCACGGTGATGGCCTTTGGAGGCGCGACGATTGCCCAATTATATCGCATGGTGGAGCTGATGAATCCAGGGAAGATACCCAATGTGATGATCTTAGTTGGGACGAATGATATCTCCAGAGGATCAGACGAGCAGGAAGCACTGTGGGAGTCAATGATGGTGTGTTTGTTCACTACCCTCTCGCAGAAGTTCAGTTGCGCGGTACTGACCGTTTGCACTGTGCCAATGAATACGAGAAGCCTGACAGCATCAGGAAGAAGGCACAACGAGGGAGCCATGAGATGGAACAACATCTTGAGGAACCTAGCAAATCGAAATGCCACAAGGGGTAGTACAACAGGAGGCGCCGACGAGAGAACAATTGCGGAAGTTAGATTGTCTAAAAGATTTAGATCTTTTTGAGACAATGTGCAAAGTTCTAAACATTCCGATGGAAGTGAAGAAGATATGGGCAAGAAAACGATTGATGCCATGGTTCAGAGCCAACATGACTGCATGGTTGTACGAGTATGCGAAAAAGCATATGTCGAAGCACGGCAGGGTGTACAGTGAATATCAGCTGGACATTGGGGCAGGAGCTTTCAAGCGAGCTCTCGTGACCCATCGGAATGCAGTGACCACCGCCGTGAAAAGAATTTCCAGGACGAGTGAGCGTGGTGGAAATGAGAAGGCAGAGATGCTGAAAGAAGATCTGGAGAGAAACGTGACGTTGTGTCTCCACAACAGCTTCTGTAGAAACAGAGAATCAAACGTGGATCCCCTACCTTGCTGTAAACAGAGGGTGGAAGAGCAGAAGTGTTGGAGGACGGCTTCCAACAGCGTCAGGATAGTCAATGACGTGCTACAAGACACGGAAACCGAAAGTGCGGAGTCAGTGTCCAGGAGGAGGAAATGGAGCATTGACGAATGGTCGAGAAAACAAGAGGCAGCAAGAAAGAAAATTAGAAGAATTTAGAAGTTTTAGAACTTCTAAACGACGAAAAAAGAAGAGAACAAAGGGATGATGAAGAAAAGTCAAAACTCAGAATTGTTTTGTGTGTGTGAAAAACTCAAGTGAGAAACCAAGCAACCAAGTTGCAATTGAAAACTGAAACATTTAGTTGAGTTTTGAAATTGTTGCATTTATAAATTTGCATTTTGATTTTAACAGAAGTGGCTTTAGAGACACTTATTATTTATTTAGAAAGGCTTAAGGGAAGAGTATATTTAAATATTCCAGCCTGCATGATTGTTTTTAATCACTTAGGAAGATTGATCTCTTTGTGGTGACGTGGAAGGCTTGAGTAATCTCTTGAAGAGGGAGGTTGTTGCATTGTTCTTTCTAACCACAAAGTTTCTTAGTTTTAATATTCAGGACAATAAACAAGCAAGATTTCCGAAGGGAAGGAGCGTAGTAGGATAATTTTAGCTTGTTGGTTGGCAGGACTGTCCTGCAAGCCAACACCTTTTAAATATAAGAGAAGAAGTTTTAATCGGGACATTGACTGGAAGTCAGAAAAAATGTTTTATCTTAAGTCATATCCTCAATGTGCAGGTTAACGAAAGAATTTGAAGGCTATAGTGATGTAGTATGATGCCATTTATATTCTGCAGTGAGTCGATGTGACGTAGATAAAAGTAATTTCGTGCATTTTGTAAATTCTGTTCGATGACACTGTAACCATTTAGAACATTGCGCGATTCAATGAGGACATTGACCGGACTGTCCGGGGAGTATGTGACATTCGACCAGAATGGCCAAAATGCAATCTCTGCAGAATTCGGAATTTTAGCAGTAAGCCTTCCGGATTGGTGGTTTTTAAGAACTAAGGGCGTTATTGGAACGTTTAGCCAAACGGTGAAGGCTGGAATATTCTAGTATTTTAAAATTTCAAAAATTCGAATGATGACGTCACATTTCTGAGAAATGCTGAAACGGCCATTTTAACAAAAAACGAGTGAAAGAACACAACAACAACATTAGTTGCGCTGACGAGAACAACTTTATCGAAATTGAAGAATCGTGATTGAAAAACAGCAGCAGATTGCAGAGAACGTTCCGAGTTGCAACTATTGTGCTGCTACAATAGTTGCAAGGCCGTTGCAAACAACGGTGAAGGGTAAGAAACCAGCCTTCCGGATTAGGAAGAAATCAAGATCAAGTAGCTTGATTCACCGGATTCAAGAATCCGGAAGGGTCTCGGGACGGAAAACTTTTATTGACTCATATGAACTTTTAGCATCCTGTCATGTCCTGACTTGAATTTAATTGATATTTGGATTAGTTTTGACAAGGATGAGGTGCTAAGCGTTGGGGGGGGGGAAGGGTTGATCCATCTGCGATGGAGATTATGATTTTTATCTACTGAACAAAAACAAAAGTAATATAATAAGTAGTAGCCCTGTTTTTAGGAGTGACCTCGTGGTCTGGGGATACTGAGACCCATCCATGAGCTCACTATTTTTGCATGTAATTCAGTTAATTTGAGCGTTCTGGTCGAAGCCGGAGAACAGTAACGTTTTTGTCGACCCGATGTTAGAAAAGGCCACCGAAAAGTACTGGCTTGGTAGAGACGGTGAAAAACATGCAAAGCTCTGTTTAGACGCTAGCCAGTCGTCTTAAGACTTAGTTTTGTTATCCGTCGATATGTATCTTCCGGGCGAATGTTACATTTCTAGAAAATTGACAAGAGTCACAACCAGACCTAATCAAGATTAACAATAACTGATCGAGCAATTTATTGGCTCTTTAAATGAAAAAAACATATAATCAAAAAGAATGGAAATTTCGTTTTGGTTAAGTTCGACAAAAATGTCATTTTTATTCAAAAAACACTATTTCTGCGTCACACCGCAGCTCAGCGGAAGGGACCGACAAATTAACTCACGCTGTTTTCATTTTGAACTCAAGTGAAAAGTTTGGGGAACATTTAAGAGACGCTTGAAACTCCTTGAGGCTCTTTTTTGGTCTCCTACACAAATATCGGTTGAAGCTTTTCTCATATTGAAAAATTTCACAAAATTCTGTTAAGCGTACATTCAATATAACAGTTTTCATTTAACAGCAGAATACATTTGATGAAATATGTTTGATGAAATATATTCAAACCGTTACTCATAATAAAACAAGACGAAACTGATAACACCTCTGCGATATGAAAGAACCACATTGACTGTTTTTGGGATCATGATACGAACTATTTTTTAACCGTTAAATGGTTAACTTTTTGAGTTTTTGTAATTTTCAAAAGCTAGTTGATTGATAGTTGATTTCGGAGGATATTGTACAGGACACGATATTTGTTTAATATGATCTGTAAATTTGTTACTGAAATTTTATGCGTGCGCTTTGAGTTTAATATCCATTAAAAGCCTTTTCAGATGTGTTTCTGATTACAAAAAAAAGTGCAACATTGCAAAAAAGTTAAACAATCTCTAGTTTCATCAAAACTGTTTGCAAACTGACTTATCTGTGCTCCTTAACCTTGTACCAAATTATAACACTCGAAAGAGCAAGTTTCTTGTAATCGGTGATTTTTTCTTATGAACAAGTTTTCCGCCAAATCTCTAAGAAACTGTACGCACTTGATCATTAAACCTTTGCAACTTCCAGTTTCATTCCCACTTGGTCTCGGCAGAGATAACACGGTGGCCTTTGCACCCTTTTGCTTGCGGCTCGGGTTTCGGGCAGACTCAGTGTTTTTCGGTATATAAGAGGTTGAATTCTTTCTTTTTGCAGTAAGAAATTGCACTGCCGGCCTATTTTTTCCCGGGTTATGTTTTTTTACGGCCTAGTTGTCAGATCTTGAAGTTTTTTTGTGCAGTCAAAATTATTCATTTTTGTTGCATCTTTTGAACACTTACTGCTCTTTTTCTATTTTATCGAACCCTCACTATCTAAATTTTCTTTTTGTTAATGCTTTCAAATCGACCTTTTTGGTTTCGATTAATGTTTTATTGCCTTGTTTAGCTAAGTTTTGAGTTAATTGACAGCAAATTCCGATGGATTGTTTTTTTTTCAGATCAATAATATTCTATGCATGTTTTGACCGGCTAACGGCCGCTCGGTAATTACTTAAATTTTGTTTACAACTGGTATTTTGTTTCCCTACTTTTCGCTGAAGTAGATTTTTTTCAGTTGTGAAAAAACAAGATGTCAGTTTTGTTTCAACGATTTGTTTCGACTTATATTTCCGTCTCAGATTCTATTGCTAGTACATTGAAATTTTATCTTAAGTGTTCCAAAGCTCAGTTTGATCTCTGGTCTTACATTTTTCGAAAGTTTCTAATAGTTCCAATTAAGTTTTAAGAACTTGATAAATCTTGACGCCTAATTTCAACTTTTCAACATTTTTTAGCAAAACGGCAGATTTAATAAATAAAAAAAAAATGAAGAAAAAACATTTTATGGTTGGAAAAAACTGTGCTAAATGCAGAACAGCCGGTCGCTTTTTCTTATCATTTGGTTGACCAGACAAGAAAACTCTCGCTTGCAAGCCGTTATTGAGCTTGATCTGTGTTTCGGTTGATGAAGCGTTTTACTGAGCAAAGCGCTTCAAGTCAGTTTTTTCCACTTATAATAAATTTTTATTTTGATTCATGTTGTTACGCGGTAGTCAAAAGCATATATTTTTTTCTATTGCAAAAGCTACAGCAAACTATTATTTTAGTGACTGAGATATTTAACCATTTCCGTCATATGTCCCAGTTTAGCAGAACATTCAACATATCTTTTTTTATAAATGGTATATTTTATGAAAATGGTATTCAATTAATATAGGACTTACACTTCAACCGTTTTCGTTGAACATAAGTGAGTACACATACTATCTGATACAACAAAAAATCTGAGCTTCGCTTCTTGTATCAAAAACATTTTTCCTGGAAAAATCCAATAAAGAATTTGTTTGCGGTTTTTATGAAATGGCGTTGCAAGAACAAAAGAACAACAAATGGAAAATATGTGCAAAACTGAACCGCCCACCTGAACTATAATTTGATCAAATCCTCGACGCCATTCAAAGTTTTTGGAGCCCTAAAATAGAAAAACGCTATTTAATATCTCATATTGTGCATTAAACTGTTGTGTGCTTTATCTTGTTTTACCTGCCCACAATAATTGTTCTTACTTTGTTTTCTCTGTTCTCAGCTGGAGTTCCGTTCCCCGCCGCGAATTGACTTTAAGTCTTACTAACATAACGGAAGTGTTTCGTTTCCTTGCCTTTACAAAAGCCAGTTGGAGCGAGATCTTTACCCTAGCCTTATCAACTTTTATTCCATTCATTTTCGCTTCATTTTGTCACTCAAAGCTAGCAAAAAAGTACATTTTTTCAATTAACTTCAAGTGCTGCAGCCTCAGATAAAAATTTGAAGGGAGTAATTCAAATTAGATTAGATATGGCTCGAATTTTTGAAATTATTTGGCTTCATCGCACTTTTTTCAAGTCGGTTCCGCGAGTAGTTATAACAAAATCCCACGTTTGAAACTGTATGTGGGCCTCATGCTGATGGAAGCCCCCGTCTGTGAACCATTAGCGTAATTGGCTTGGGATTTTGTTCATTAGTTCTATTTTTCTGCTTCCGCCATCTTTTGTCATTTTGTACCACCCCAACTGCTGCATGCGAAGGAGCAGACAATACAATTAAAGGTTAGTGGCTGTCTGAATCAAACAAACTTCGTGTCATTTCTGCTGAAACATGCCATGAGAAACTGATTTGCATTGCACTCAGGTGAAGCTTAAGACAAAACGCTGCAGGTGAAAATAAGTATCTTAACATTAATTCTATTTGCCAAATAATGTGGAAGAGACAAATGAGTTACCAGGTTAGTACTTTCACTCCAATTCTTTTTCACGCTTCCAAACTACGCCTAAAAAAAAACAAATTGGGATGTAACACCGTGTATTGCAGAGGACTGTGTCTTTCTCATTATTTTACTAATTCAATTTCCACTGTCAGAAGGACTGACATTTTGTTTATTTCTCTCAACTTTGGTAGCCTTTGTTGTAAAAAAAACGCATTTAATTGATTCCAAGTTGTAGGCGTAATAATATGTCAGAGATTGAATTTAATTCAATTTTTGTATCAAAGATTTCATTTTTTTTCCATTTTTTCTCTTTCAATTTTTTCAATATTCTATTTGTAAGCAATTGCTAAGAAATTTGTTATTTTCAAGCAACAGTTTAGTGAAAAAGCAGATGATGAAAAATCAGCTATGAAAATTTATATATTTATATCTTCGAAACCGTAGACAGTTTCTAGAAAATTGACAGGAGTCACAACCAGACCTAATCAAATCAAGATTAACAATAATTGATCGAGCAATTTGTTGGCGCCTTAAATGAAAAAAAACATATTTTGAAAAAGAATGGATTTTTTTTTTGGTTAAGATCGACAAAAACGTCGTTTTGGTTTAAAAAACACTATTTCTGCGTCACACCGCAGCCCAGCTCTTTTTTATAGTAGCGTTTGCCCTGCTGCGCCAAAAGGTGAGACATTTTAACATGTTTAGTAGAAGAACCGACAAATTATTTCATGCTGTATCATTTTGAACTGAAGCGAAAAGTTTGGGGAACTTTTAAGAGACGCTTGAAACTCCTTGAGGCTCTTTTTCGGTCTCCTACACAAATATCGGTTGAAGCTTTTCTCAAATTGTAAAGTGGCACAAACTTCTGTTAAGCGTACATTCAATATAACAGTTTTTATTTAACAGCAGGCTGTGAAAAATGAAGATATTGACTGGAACAATTTTGGACTAATTTCTGAGAAGCAGCCCGAGGTCAAAAAACAAAAGCAAAGCGAGACGAAGAAACCGGTTGATCAACAAACCAAAAGCCGTTTGAGACCCACAAGTTCAAACATGAACAACCAAAACCCAAAAGCAGGAGCAGTTTCGCCCGAGAGAGAAATGGCGAACAGATCTTACCAGCAATACCACATGGCCAACAACAGCCCAGCTGAAAATCCTGTCAGGTACACATTGCACTCAATTATTTGCTGATTTATAAAATAGCTTATTGCTATTTGTCTCTTGATTACAAGACGATTGTACCTTTTCATTGAGTGGCCCTTTTTCCTGTTTTCAACTCTTTGTTTCATTGCATCATCCGCTCATAATATATTTCGTATAATCACTGATGATGATAATTGTCCATCAAATTTCAAGTGCAGCATCTGTATTTTCATTGAAAACCTGTTCATCGACCGATCAAGCATTTCACGCCATTTTTTGTTCTAACTCAATGACTGCATTTTGCATATTTTCTAATAACTTCAATCAAAGTTAAAATCGCGATGAATTTCATAATCATTTGTATTGGCGCCGAGATTTTTAGCCTGTCTGAATTATTTTTGCCCTTTTGAGGCGCAGCAGCTTCGTTTTACTTCGTTTTGCTTCGATCGCAATACTCTGTGCAATCATACTCCATGAAGTATTCTTTAGATGCTTCTTCACAGCAAAAAGGGAGTGCTGTATATTGTTGGTAGTAGATTGCAAAAGAATGAACATTAAATAAAATGCATTTAGAATGACTGTTTGCTAGTTTTGTTTGGAAATTACTTAAAAGGAACTATGGTTTGGGTGGGCTTTTCCGGTCCACTTGATTTCTCCAGAGAATCTATTTCTCATTCTTAACCTTTTTCTTGCTCTTTTTACTTATCTCAATTGTCCATTTTTTGCTTTTAAATTAAATCCACAGAAAAAAACTCAAATACAATTCAAAATTTTTTTTCTCCTATTTTTGCACAGCAACCGGAAGTTTTATTTTTGTTTAGATTTAAGATATTCTGAGCTTTGATTGTTCTTTTTAACACAGGAAAAAGTCTAATCCTGATCCAACACCCCCACCTCTCTTGCCCAGATCACCCTCCCCGGGCTCATTGGGTAGAGGGGGGAGGAGAGGTGACGCAGATGGAGGAGTTGTTGCCCACCTCTCTCAGCAGGAAGTGGGAGGGTCATCCAGGGGGGCGAGGAGGGGTGGGCAGTCTCCCAATCGGCTGTCCCCCAATTCGATCAAGAGGACAGGGAGTGGGTCTCAGAGTGACTACACGAAGAAAGGCTGGCTCCTCCTCTGGCACGCCGGGTCCAAAGTCAGTTCTAACCTCTAGTTATTTACTCAACTAGATCCTGATTAAACTATAGTTAAAACAACTACATACTGATTAATTATCTAAGTAAGAAACACGACCAGATTAAAGCGCTCAACAAATACTTGAAATCATTTCCATTTTTCACTTCCGTGTTCTGCGAGTTAGTTGTCGTAGTGGGCGAATTTGAGTCAAAGATGTCTGCTGATGATGAGGATCAGCAGGTGGGTTGTGATTTATTATGTTAGTTTCTCTTTTTGACCTTCGGTATTGATTAGATACCTGTCAATCACTGGCCTGAATCGACCAACTCTCGATCATTCGCTGTTCGTGTTAGTTTTAGAACCAGCATTTTGGTTCACTGTTCTCATCCATTTTGTGCTTTAGACTAGTTGCAACATAATACACTTGTATACTTAGTTAGAGAATAGTATTTCAAATTCATCCTGCTGTCATGTAAAAACCTTTATGATAATCGAATCAGATTTCTCCATGTGCTTTCTGGGGTGGTACCTTGCACTTGCTCACATAATCAAAATCTGGGTAAACTTGAAAACATGGGGAAAAAATGACTGAAAACTCAGACATTCTGAATTTTACCCAGAATTTATATATAAGTGCAAGTATTTGACACCACTCTAGAAAACACATCTTGAGAAAATTTTCGTCAAATGTGATTATGGTTTTTGAAACGAAACATTCGAGATACAAGTGGACATTATCCACGTCAAGAAACCAAAGAGAAATCACCTTTCTCTATATATATTATGAAAAGAAAGTTTTCTGATTTCTTTTTTTGGTGTTTCGTATTTTTTTTTCATGATGTTGTTTTTTAGAAGAATTATCAGTTGATCATCAGTTGATGAAAAAAGTTGATCATTCTCGCGAAGACTTTGGCCAATTAAAAAGCGGTTCATGATTTTTTGAGGAACAATTCTGTTTGATGACAATTCTGTTTCCAAAAATTCAAGCCCTGCGTATAACTTAGTGCAATTCAATCATTCATAGCAGGGTCACTCAAACAAGTCATTATTTCGATCTTTTATACGAGTTATTTTCATCTAATATTTACAGATATTGTGTCTTGTGACTAGTATTTTTGTCCGCTTTCTTGAATAAAACCTTACAAGTCTTCATAATAGCCGCTATAATTTTTAGAGATTGCGAAAGCCTGAAAAATCTTTTGCTGGAACTATTTCTGGAACATTTTTGTTAAACTCTGGTCAATAAATGACATTGGTTTATGACCATTTGGGTCCAATTTCCGTACGTCTCTTGTGTGTGCATGTTTCATGTCGCATTTTGAATAAATCGGTATCAATTGCCAGTCAACAGGTTGCTTTCTCGCTATTGCTTGGAAACTTTGTGGCGAAAACTGTTGTTTAGATTTCATTGATATGTTTATGGTTTTACCATTATTGTGTTTGTCATTAACGGAGCGGAGCCTATTTAAATTCAAATTTTTCTAAGAAAAACCACTTGGAATCGATACATCTCACGATTTTTCATTAAGTATTTGTATAGTTTTGTTGTCTAGTTTATATGTACAGGAATTAATAGTGTCTGTTTCCGACATAAGTGTTTATCTTAATTAAATCTTTTTCTTTGTGTACTATTTTTGTACGATTAGTTTTTAATAGTATTGAAGAAGTTAAAATGAGTTTTCTTTATTTTTTGACATGATAATGCCCATTCAACTCTCGCTTTTTTCGTTTCATTTTTTATAACGGTTCTGCCATGTTAAGAGAAAAATACACTGCACGATCAAACCTTGTTAGAACTTCCTAATACCAAAATAATGGAGTTTTTGATTTCAATTTTTTGAGACTACCAGGGTTTGTTTAACCACGTTTCGAACGTTTGTACTATCAATCAAGATAAACAAAGTTTTTTTTGCTTTGTGACTTGGTAATGCTCATCCAACTCCCGTTTTTTTTTGTTTGGATATTCAGACGTTCAGTCGATTTGATAATGGTTTTGTCATGTTAAGAGGAAAAACGAACTGTTTTTTATTCTGTAAAAACTTCTTCAACTAACGAAGAAAAAAGAAGAGCTTGTAAACATTGTTGCTTTAATATCAAACGTTTTTAAAATTTCGTTCTGAAATTTTGACTTTTTTCAATGCATTTTCAAAATTACGACCTATTTTGAAATGCATGTCATAGATTTTTTTAAAAGCACGAACAACAATTTTTTTGCTTTCCTTAAACTAATGAGGAGAGCTGCAGCTTGAAAAACAAGCGCCTCTGTTGCTATAAGTATTGAAATCACTTATTCGTGCTATGTGCTTAGTTTTTGATAATATTTTTAATCTGAAAAACTTTTGTCAGTTATTTTGAGACGCAGAAGCTCAAGCTTAGTTTTTTTCAAATTTTTTAAAATTTTTAGTTAGTTTTTTTTCGGTACTTGCTGGTTGCAACAGAAGCATTGGGCCTGTAGACTATTCAAGCAAATCATTTCTGATTGAGGACACCGTCTGTTTGTCTGGCCATTTGTTTTCGATCAGATAGGCTCAAACAACTACTCGGTCTAATGCTGATTTTTTGTCCTTCTCTCATTTGCTGGTCTCAATCGATATACAAGAATACTGGTTGTAGAGGTTATCATGAGGTCAAATTTTGTACTTGTTCTTAGGCTGTTTAGAGTAATAAACTACTCAGGTTCATACTAAAAATTCAGAAGTTAGATATGAATTTTGATATTTTTAAATGCTTAGATTATAACTTCATACCCGGAGTGGATGGAAAAAATTTTATTAAACAATTTTCATCTATAAAAATTGTAAGATAAGCATTTTTCATAAAAGAAAAATGTATGACAGGCATTTTTGTCATCCCGGGCAACGAAGAAAGAAACAGTTTTTAAAAGTTGTTCCCTTTATGTCAGATGGTTTAGAAATTAAGTTTTATAATTTTGAACTTGTTTAGGACGTTTTCAAATTTAGAAACAATTCGAACTGAATGTCGGAGATTTTCAAAACCACAATAGTAATTTTTTTGTTTTCTAAAAAGTAATGAGGAGAGCTGTATCATGAAAAAAAACTTATTCACATTATGATCAGAAATGTACTTTTTTTGTGCTTTGTTATTGATGAAAATTTTAGTTGAAAGTTTTTTGTCAGGTAGCTTACAGTTAAGGTTTTTTGAGGACTTTTTGGTTGCAACAGACGCATTGGGTCCAAGGTCTATCTAATAACTTTTTTTCTGATTGGGAAACCGTCTGTTTGTCTGGCTATCTGTTTTTGACCGGATAGTTTCGAGCAATTATTTAGTCTAATTCTGATTTTGGTCCTTTTCCCGTTTTCTGGCCTCAATGGATCTATAGGAATACTAGTTGTAGAGATTAACATGAGATAAAAATTTTTTCTACTTGATTTTAAGCTGTTCGGAGTGGTAAACTACTCAGATTTGCAATAAAAATTCAGAAGTTAGTTATGTAATGACGATCTAGAATTTTCTCGAGGAAGGTGCGGATTTTCGAAAAATTTTCGAAAATTATGTCGACTTTTTTGTTAGGTCGGACCAAATTGATTTTCCGAGTCCCGCAAGCACTCCAAAGACTTTGTTTTGGGCATAATTTTGAAAAAACAGGCCATAAAAGGCATTTTAGGCACTTTTTGAAAACGGTTGACCAAAAACTCGCGTTTTTTGGCCCCTGCTTCCCCTTTAAAATTACTATATATTGGCGCCGAAGGTGCCTTTAGAAAAGTTTTAGGGTCCGGCACCAAAAATGGATATCTCAAAATAGTACAAAGGGGGGGTTTGGGTCGGCAGGGGGTCGAATCCCTGAGAGAGGAAAGCGTCCGCGCCGCCCCCCTCCCCAAAATCCGCCACTGTATGTATAATGATTGTTTAGTAATAAATATTTGCAATCATAATAAAGCAAGAAACAAAATTATATGCAAAACTCCGAATCTTTCTCTTGCTGGGTCTAAACTGATACTCGAAAGTATTTAAGCCAAAGTGGCACTAAAAATTGTTTACTTGATTTATGGGATCTTAATCAGAGCTGAGACTGAGACGGCTTCAGTAGGATGATGAGATTCCTTTTGTACGAGTTTTTGTGCAACAAACTGGTTCTTTGCGGAAAAAAAATGGACCCTCCTTGTCATAGCTCTTTCCATTTTTTGAGAGTGGTTGGAACAAAACTTGAACCCCTGTCCTTTGGGTAGAGAGGCGGCAGCTTAACCACTCGACTACTGTATAATATTTCAGGAGTGGACTAAACACTGGTTTGTGTTGCGTGGATTCCATCTCAACTACTACCACAGCATCGAGGCAGAGGAGGTGAATGCTTCAACATAACGCTAAACAAACAAACACCAAAGGGCGACAAATGCACAGAATATTTCCTTTTTGGCTCTAGCTGCATAAACTCTGACCACGCCAAAATTTCTTCAATTATTTTGAATAATTCCATTTTTCAGAAGGAAAATTGAAATATGTTTCAAAAACAGCTGAAGCAACGTTCAATAGTTCCTATTCATGGTTAGAAGGTTGATTTTTGCAAATTCAATTGCAATGCAAAAGGGCAAAAATTGAAAAATTCAAAAACAAATATTTCTTGACAGCGGAAACTTTTTTCAATCGTCTCTCGAGGTTTATGACTGGTTACACAATGAGTTTCAGGAAAGAAAGCTGGATCTTTCCGAAGCATTCAAAATTGCGTCATTTTGTTTGCAGGAAGAGAAGATGGACGGGTCGGTGAATGTGGCGACATGCAAGAACGTGAAGGAGTACCAGATAGAGAAGAATTCTGGCTTCCGAATTTACACTCACGAAGGGGCCGTCCAGCTGGCTGCTCTCACCGACAACATCCGACTAGGCTGGATCCAGGCATTCCAGGTAAGTGGGGCTTCTGGGAGAATCCGTCCCCAACAAGTGGTAGAAAAAATTACCTTTGCCATTCAGAAGTCAGAGTTCAAAATTTAAAATATAAAACATGTCAGCTGAGTTTTGCACACATGTAAAGGAATTTCATCATTTTGCATCGCAGTCAGTCATCTCACTATCTCAACTTTATTTGTGAAACTTCTATTTATATACAAAAGTCAAAAAGGCAACTACATGTTTTAAAGCCTAATTGTTGCGATAAACTTATTAAATAGCTTCAGGTCAAATGAACAGTTAGAGAAGTCGCCTTTCTTGCTCAAACAGCTGCACGGTTTTAAAGAATCCATTTTTTGAGGCACAAAAATAGAGTATCATAACATTAGCAGCAACCAAGTTTGAGGACTCCAGTTCAACAAAGCAATTATGAAAGCACTGTGAAGAGGATACAGTTACATCGTTTGCTGGACGAAAATGACAATTCCAAGAAGAGAGCTTCCAGTTTCAGCAATGCTCGTCGTATATGTGCTTGATTTCACAGGGTGCAGAATGTGTGGGAGTATCCGGTTCATAGAGTTGTCGAGCTGCTCAGAGATATTAAAGATTTACCGATGCAAGTATCCGAATTTGCTGCATGTCACTACTAACCAGCAAAACAAGTAAACCTAGGCCCATCATAGCGAATTTTGTGTTAAATCATCAGAGAAATGCGGTTTGGGAAAATAGGAGAAAATTGCAAGAAAACATCTGGCCCTTTTGTTTTTTTTTAATGAGAGAGTTGCTGAACAAGATTATGACAGTTGAATAACCGTAGAAACAAAGTTTTTTGACGACATTTAAAAATATATATTTCACATATTCAGAAACGTAAAGAGGGCAGAAAATGGTCGCCTGTTATTTCTCGTCAATTTTTACACGAAATGTGGATTTACAAGAAAGAAACAGTTTATAACCAGCTGATCGGTCCACTAATATACTCTATCGAAACAACACCTTGGACTATTGAAGTCGACCGAATGCAAAACGTACTCGGGAAGAAGCCCTAGGTCAACCAAATTACGGAAAGCTTGAAAACAATTAAAAATTGGATAGACTTTGTGGGCTTAAAAAGACGTTAATAACAGTAAAGTCAGCACATAAGAAAAGAAACAACATAATTGACGAGAGCAGTGATTGCAAAGAGAAAAATTTACTGTTTCAGCTTGATTGTTTTCAAATACACCTGTTTTTAAAGTTTTTTTTTGTTATCAAAAGAGGGAATTTTTGATGGGGATTGCTCAAAACCTTTGAATAATGAGCGGATATTGTTTTTGAATGTGCAATGACTAAGAAGCCATCATGGAAATTTAAGCTGTTTGTCGACATTTTTAGTGATCTGCCGTTAGCAATTTGCCTTTGTGAAACTTGGCTCAGAGAAAATGACCAATTAGACTTTTCAGCATTCGGGGACTTGACATATTAAAAACCGAGACAAGAGTGGTGAGGCTGTAGTTTGCTTTTTAGGATTCGATGTAAAGCATGACAGAGGGTAGTCTGCGAGTGTAACTTGGAAAAAATGGTCATCACTTTTGTTTAGGGAAAGTCGATTTCTTATGTTTGCGTTTTAAACAACTCTCCAAAGAGAGGCTTTTCTGAACCTGTGGGCATTTTTGAAGTTTTAACACATGAGATGAAAAATTTAATAGATGAAATGATAGTTTCTTGTGGCTTCAATGTTGATAGAATGGTTTAATCAAATAGGTCCCAAGCCATGTCTTGCGAAATCAAACTGTAGAAAAATGCTTTGACTTTGACATTATAATTTTAGAGCCTACTCGCTAAAAGGCGTATATTTCTTCAAGCGTTGACCACGTCATTGTGGCAACTTTTGTCGAAGTGTTTCCAAATAAAAGCTTTAATATTGATCCATTATTAGCGGAGGTGTATTTTGAATCAACCAAATCAATCAGAACCTGAAAAATCATACGAAATCTGAAATCACTAATAAAAAATTCCAAAACGTTTTGATTTTGTTATTTCTTATTTATCAAAGCATATTAACTACTGATCGGTTCGGGATAGAAACACAAAATGAATTATTATCAGTACTTACTTTAGGTTATGTTGATCGGTTTTGCACTGAGAAAAAAAAACATTATTTTCGAAACAAATTGAAATATGATTGGTCTACTTTGCATTTAAAAAAGTCGAGCGACAAAGAATTTTAGGCAATTCAAAATTAGTTTAACTTTTTGACATCGGAAATCAGAAAATTGATTGAATAAATTTTCAATGGCAAATTTTAATGCCAAAAAGGCACCAAATTGATTTTCAGTGCTTCAAAGAATTGTGTGGAATAATTTTAAAAAGTAACATTGAACTAGTTGTGGAAAAATTGGAAACTTCTTTGCTAGTTTTACTAAAAACTAGGAGCTTCTATGTTCCTCTAATTTTGCTGCCATTTTGCTGCCATTGAGAAGTTCTTTGAGTTTTGCACCATTTGACAATTGAAAGGTTAATGGCCAGTAGATGAAAAAGTAAAGCGCAAAATTTTTGTTGGTCAGAATGGAAACAATTAGTAAAATGGTAAAAATTGTAGCCATCAAGATAAGTTCATTAAAAAAATTAGTAATTTGTCAACTCAGAAAATTGGGTTCGGAAAAAAACATTCTGATTCTCATGAAATTTCGATAATAACTGACTAAAAGACTAAAGAGTCAAGTTATCGACAAAAAAGTTTTAGTTTAGCCCAATTTTTGGGTTTCAAAACAGCCTTCGACATGGGTGATCAAAAAAATTTAAAATTAAGTTCTATTTACAAGATAGAACATTACATGTTTTATCAGATAATCGTGTAGCTTCTATAAAAAATGTCAACTGTTGAGTTCCGCAGGGGTCAGTAGTGAGACCACCGCTTTTTAAACTTTTTTATTAACAAACTCACTGATCCAATGACTTATACGCAATCTACTCTTTTTACTGGTAATAAAATGATTCTAGCAACTACAAAACAAGTTGCAGGGCGTTAAATTTTCGAGTTCGATATGAAATTTGCAGGTGACTGGTGCAAAGCTAATAAAATATGCATTCAAACTTCCAAAATCCCCTATATACGTTTTAAAAAATCGGGTTCAACGATAGAGTTTAACATTGCATCTCACAAACTTCAGGCGGGAAGTTATTTTGACTATTCTGGAGTTTTAATTGATAAACACTAATTTTTCCGAATCGTATTGATCATGTATGCAAAAAATTGGCAAAGTTCAGGGGTTTACTCTATCGAGCTAGGAATTTGTTTTCAAAAACATCTCTTATTTATTTCAAGAATGTTTACGCTAAATCAGTTATCAACTATGAAATTCGGACAGTTTTTTTCAAACAAAAGTTTGATGAAACAAAACGTTATTTTCAGGAACACAATATTGATACTGTTTTCAAATTCAACGATCTTAGAAAATCCATTTTTAAACATCTTGATTTTGATTCTGATGAAAAAAGGCGAGAAACTCGATCAAAAGACCAGCGATTTCTGAAGCTGCTAGCAGTTTGCATTGAAATTAGAAAGAAGTTTGTACGTGTTTCGTTAAGTAAAGCGTAAATTTTTGCGGCAATGAATGAGCTGCCACCTGATAAATGTTTAAAATTCAAGTTGCTCAATGCCATTCATGCTTAAGACACTTAAGAGAGAATTTCTGGAACGATAACGAAAAACAATTAAGTTATTCTTCTGAAACTTGCACGTTATGTTCGAAATTTTTTTCTTCTATATTACTATGAATACTCATAGGGCATTATATCAAGAGCAAATTTGCTCGTCGTAATGTCCTTTTGTGGCAATCATTGTAAAAATTTTCATCACGATTGCTTAAAATGATGTATATTGATATTTGCCATATTAAATATTGTATGAACTCAAATAGTAAGTGTTATTCACCACAACGCATTGTTTTTTTTTCAAAAACGAGCTCATTTTTTCTTCTAAATAATTTTACAGGATTTGATTCTAAAACGAGAGGAGCACGAAACTTCTGCGACGACTATGCGGAGGCATCGAGGACCCGTAAAGCACTCGGCGGTTCCCGGAGGCCATGTGGTGGCCACGAGTCGTTCTGTACCTCCGAGTGCGTTCGGAAATACTCCGAGGGGAGAAGAAACACAAGGAGAGCTGAATCGATCGCCGTCTCCTACTCGAAGTCCGAAAGCACGAAGGGGTGCTGTCAACGAGTCGACAGTGGCGACGAACAACGACGAAATTCAACCGAGGCCTCGGGTGTCGTCGGGATCCGTTGGCAGTTCAGTGTCCCATTCAGATCGACAGCAGCCTCCCACGCCTTCGCCGCTGTTCACGAAGTCTCGAGGTGGACACCCGAACTCAAAGCGTACTTTTGGTCTTGTTGCCGATTCAGACATCGATTATTCCGGATGTAAGAACCAAGAACCACACAACAAAAAAGAGGTAACTAAATCAGAGTTATATAGATAGCAAATCTACTTCATGCTCGGCTATTTTCTTTGTCACAATGTGTTTTGTGTAGTTTCTGCAGCGAACTTAATATTAAAACATCATTTTAAATTGCATCTGTTTTTTAATCGTTTCTGTTAAATCAATAGAACGCAATTCTAAAAATGAAAGCTCATCCATTCGAAGGTTCCGCTGGCACAACTGGACACAACTTCCACTTCCTTCCACATGTCAAGTGGCACGGAAGACCACAGCCAGTGTGGAGTCCAGGCTGAGACAAACACTAGTGGTGGAACCAGTATAGGCGGAACCTTCCCTTCCTCCTCCCCCGCCCCAGCTGGGGCAAGGGGAGAACATATTAAACTCGGCATATCGGCCACTTTGGGACGGGAACCCGCCAGCTCAGCCACGGTGGAGGTGAGTGCTGTAAGACTATTTTTCAGATGCAATCTCGAGGAGATTGATGCCCTGACTTCAAACATAAATTAACATTCATATTACTTGCAATCAATTTTGTTAAATTATGGGGACTTGAAAGCTGCATTGCGTGTGTGTTAATACGCGATTATCGTCTCTGCGTAATAGGTTTGTGGGTAGATTTTTGCAGTTTGCCGTAGGTTTATCTTCAACGAAGCCACGCTCCCACGAGTAAAGCAACTTTTTCCTGAATTCTGGGTCGATCGTACTCGTGTCGTCAACTAACTGCTGGAGGTCAATTCCGGCCAACTCTCGCCTCTCAGCATTCCTTTTTGCATTTGGCTCCACCAAAGCATTGAGGGTCCTGGCCCTGTCTATGTGTCGTGCTGATCTGGTTTGCTGCTAAACTCTATACTATTTTGGCCCTTGCGTACTATTTTCAGCGAATCCCAAAATTGGTCAGTTCGTTTCTTCAGTTGTTTTGCGGTCAGAGCAATCCTCTCCAAATGCTGTTCATCTAAACGTTCAGAGTTTAGTAAGAACTTATCTCTTACGATTTTTTGTTCGGTTTTTGGAAGCCTGCCGAAGTGTGTCTCAAATGGTGATTATTGAATTGTTTTTTGCCTAGTCCAACGCATACCCCGAATTCTTGTACTGAGACAGAGTTTGATCGAACTAACGTTTTCTTTGAGCAACGTAACCCCGAGTCTTCTTTTTTTTGTCTGAACTGTTCTTTCGACCAACCCACAACCGCGATGTTCACCCACCGGGCAAAACTTTTGTTCGATGTTATTATCTAGACAAAACGATGTCATCGCCTTTCCTTTAAACCCCGAAAACTGATCCGTTTTTTTTTCTACTCCGGTTTTTCATGAGTGTCATTGTAAGATTGTAAAATTTTTATTGAAGATTTAGCCCCGTCGATTTTGTAAATTTAAATGAAGGAAATTTAAAACAACGGTCGAGTGCTCTTAGTAAGTAGACCTTTTTTCCTTTCGTGATCCTCTAACGGGCCAGTGTAATCCCACTGAACTTCTTGACCCGACTGCAAGAGCGTGGAAGTGGTTTTGAAGCATTTTCGGGATCAAAAATTTTGCATTCTTACCGTATATCTAGTACATTCTCTGCACTCCTCGGCCAGATTGATGATGTCTTCATGCTTGTGGGGCCACCACAAGTAGATAGAAACATCTAGCATTGCCTCTTGTCACGGATGGTTTTGATGGATTCTCTTCATTACGGCAGTTCTGAGTTGTCCTGGAACTGCTAGTCTATGTACTAAATTGCAGTCAGCAACGGTTGACAGTTGATTCTAGAGCGGGTTCGTGTATGGACCCATTAAATCGAATCCTGCTCGGTCTCTTTGACCTGTCTTAAGCAATCCATCCATACGTCTTCGGATATGAGCTGCGCCATTAAGTTCTTGTCAAATTGTTTTGACAGGCTGAAGATTCCCACGTCACCTGGCTGTTCGTTTTGTCGATCCTCGCTCTTAGAATTATGCTTGACTCGGACAACACTCACTTCCGAGCTACAACCCTTGTCTTCTGCTGTTAAATCCACCTCAATGATTGCCTTTGATATTGAATCACTGTGATCGCTACTGATTTTAGGGCTGCTAGTGATCATTCTAATTCTAGGATTTTTCCTTGGTATTCTCTCATGTCTTGGTTGACCAAGTCTCAAAAAGATAGCAATTTCTTCGCCTCTGCTTCGTCTTAGTTCCACGTTACTGCTCGTGCAACGGCATTATCCTCTTCCAAACTTTCAGATCCCGATCTTTCCAGAGCTCTCCTCCTTGTCTTGCAGGTCCTATGAAACATCGTTTCTGTACTCTTCCTCGGTAAATTTTTCTTTGTCTTCTGTTCACCTTTTTATCTTCATTCCCTTCTATTTTCTTTTTCGCTTTTCCACTACTCATCTCGTTACTACTGATTTGTTTTTTTTTACTGATAAGATTAACCGACTGAATTGTGCTAGAGAAATTGCCTAAACTATTTTGTGGCAATGTGTTATGAAAATTCGAGAGTCGTGAATTGTGAACGTCCTCGTTCCGGTCGAGCTTTGCTCGTTTTTGACCGTTTTGGTTGCTATAACAACTCTGTCTGGACTTCATCTTTTCTGTTTCATTTTAAGGCATAGAATATTCTAGAATTTTTTTGTTCCGGCTGAGCGTTGCTGAATCACTAAGCCTACTAGATTAAACAGTCGAGCGCTTTGTGAAAACATTCAATTGATGTTACCACAAATTTTTCGTCTAAGTTTGACTCAAGCCGCGGATCACCGTTCGGTTTGCTCGATAATTAATCAACGATTCCCATGTATTTTCCTGGAATGTGTACTATTTTGATTTGGTATAGTATTAACCTATCTCCCCAACGTGTTAGTCTCGGCTGGTCGGTTTTCTTTGGCCGGTTGCCTTCTAAGGCCGATGTCAGTGCTTTATGATCAGTTACTCTTGCTATTAATAGGTAATGTTTAAACCGATCAACCGACCAAATGACTGCCAGCAGCTCCAGTTCATTTGTGGAGTATTTTTTCTCTTGACTATTCAGATAACGTGAAGCAAATGAGATTGGAATCCAATCTCCCTCCTCCGTTTTTTGCTCCAGAGCCGCACCCATACGCTATGACAATTCACTCGTGTTTCTTTGGAGGAATCGTAATTCAGCTTCGTAATATTAGCTACCGCTTTTTTCAATTTTTTCAAATAATTTTGAGTGTCCCCCCCATTCAAATTTTTACGGGTACTTTTATGTTCTTCAATTTTTTCTTCTCATTTTTTTCTCGTAACAGTGGTTACATTTTGTCCGTCAGATTTGCGGCGTTTGGTTTAATTTTAGGGAGTTGGTTTATATCTCCCAAAATTGACCTAAGCTGATTCAAAATTTACCTATGGCTTCCGTTTTTGTAATTTTAGGCCGTTTTCTGAGAAATTGTGTCCCAGCCAATTTACTTCCTCTTAACGAAATTATGCCTAGACAATTTGAGAGATAAATTCTCTTTATTCAGTTTTTCTAATTCCTCTGTGACCAGTTTTTTGTGTTCCGATTCTGCTCCTTTGGACACTATTAATATGTCATCCAAAAAAAAAAGTATTCTTTGCGTTATTAATGATGCGATCCATTGCTTTTTGAATTTCTGCTGGCATAACAGCCAGACTATAGAATCCGGTTAGTAATGTATAAGGACCGGTCGCGTGACCTCCCACTATGGAAAAATTTCAATGTTTCGCAGTTTCCGCGGTCAATTTGAGTTGACTGTAGGCGTATTTTAATCAAGTACCTTAAAGTATAGTGCACCTGCTGCCTTCGCAGTTACAACTTGACTGACCCCATCCAGTAATTCATCCCCATTTGGCATCTGATACTTATTTTTGAAAAACTGTCTGTTTATTGGTTTTGCATCTAAAGCCAGTTTAAAGGAGTCATCATTTGTTTTTAGTGTCATTTTGATGGGGGCGACAAAACAACCATGGGGGCGACAAAACAATGCTGAAAATGACCTTCTGCCATCAGTTCGTTAATTTTTTTTCAACTTTGCTTTGGACTTGTATCGGTATTCTTTCACCCTTTTCCTGGATTGGGCACAGTGTATACTTAGATTTAGTGTTAATCACGTGATTTACACGTCTTTGACGATCAAAACGGTCTTGATGTTTCAATTAAAATTTGTTTTTCCAACCTTCCGAATGCTCGTACAGTAGCACGTCAAACCTGGACTTTTCTTATGGGGCTGGTTCTTGTGTAGTACTTATCCCCATACTATTCTGAAGATCGAGCCCCAAAATGCATTGTGTACGTCCTTTAAATGCTAAGAAAGTGGCCTCCTGTACTTCCCATCCTCCAGAACGTATGTCCGCATTTAAAATTCCTAGTATTACATTACGATGCTTATTGTAACCTACGAATTGCGCCGGCAGGTTTAAATGTTCCGCTTGGACAAATTTTACTTTGCGTGACTATTACAGAAATTGTTTGGCTGTCGACCAGATTAGAAAGGATATTGGACTTCCGTTGTCCACCGTCATGTTGAAGATTTGATGATCAATTCTCACTAATGCTCTTAGTGATTTCTCAATTTCTAATTTGTGATCTCTGCGTATGTCAATTTTTTGAATCTCCGAGTTGTTGATGGATTGCTTTTGACACTTTTTTTTCCAGTCTCCATTGGATATATCTATCAATACTATCCATTCTGATAGCATTTAGCTCTACTGACATGATTTCAATTTCTTCTCATGAATCGAATGTTTGTATCGAATTGCACTCTTCCTAAGAGCTCTTTGCCGCTTCAGTGATCTCTTTCACTTGTTGAGTTCTACACATCTGAGCAAAACGAATTGATTAGTCATAATTTTTGCACTGTTCTCTCATTGTTGAGCAATTTTTCAAATATCTCCCTACAAACAGTTTTCGACATCTTTTGCATGGTTTCCTTTCTGTGTTGTATTTTGTATTCGCTCTCCCTTCTGGTTGCTTTTTTCTAAATTGGTCTCGGTTGTATTTTTTACCTTCTTGTCTTCTGTTTGCTATTGCTAGTATTGGTTCATATTTGATTTTGATTTGTGATTCAGATTATGATATTGTTGATGCAACATTCGTATTCGATTTTTGAATTGCCTGGGTTGTTTGCTTACTTTGTTCAAATGTTAATGCCCGTTTAAACACTTTATCTGGAGTGTGGGACTCTTCATTTTGGAGATAAATAAATCTCTCACCAATACATCATCTAGCACACCTAACTCTGATTTCCCTGCCTGAGCAGTCAAAGCAGCATGGAACGCCTCCAAAGTTTCTCCTGACTCCTGCGATCTGTTAAAAAATTTGTATCGTTCGTAAGTAATACTCTGGGGTTTTTCGAATATAACTTTGGCTAATGTTACCATTTCCTTTAGTTCCAGTTTCGAAATTTTGGCGTGAGGGTTTTCCTGTACAAATTGTTTCTTTCCTTCTGCTCCTAGGGCGAGAAATAATCTCGATATCAACCATTTTTGTACTTCATTAAAA